GGGAAGGGAAACCTAAATAAAACACTATAGGTATTGTTGAATTGAGGAGATACAGGTTGGAATTTAATGAGGTTAAGGGAGCTAAAATTTGTGATGCAGAATGTGAAGGAGGAGTAATGAGTTATTTTATCACGGAGCTATCATAAAACAAGCTCCAAACATGTGCATGAGGATTCCTCTGAGTCTTTGACCAGATATCAAACTGCATATGATGAGACTCCATAGAGATGAGGAAAGGACAAACCCTAAGGAAAGAATAATTACTGAAGATATATAAGCCACGTAATTCCCATAGCTCATCCTGGGCCTAGAATTATTCAAGTTCTCACCAGCAAGAGTAGAGAGGCCTCACTGAATTCACGTGGTCTTTAATAGTGGACCAAAAATGATTAGATATTATTAATGGTGCTAAATCAATCCTAGAATAAAGCCAGGTAGATAAAGAAGCACCAAAAAATTTGAAAGAAATATTTTAAAACAAGCCTCGAAATAATCAAACTAATCTCCAAGTCACTTAACTTCCTGCCAGAACAAAGTTCAACACTCTTTAAAAGATCATAGCAAAATGTAGTACTTAATGATACAAAATTTACAAATTGTGGTTTGTCAGGCTTGTCTCATCATGGTGCATGCCTATAGTCCTGGCTACTTGGGAAGCTGAGGTGGGAACATTGCTTGAGCCCAGGAGGCTGAGGCTGCAGTAAGCCAAAATCATGCCACTGCACTCTAGCCTGGGTAAAAGAGCAGGACACCATCTCAAAAATAAATAAATTATACTTTTGAATTTAAAAAATAAAACTTAAGAAAAAATTAATCAATGGAAACATACCTAAAAGTGACAAAACTTATGTAATTAACAAACAAAGGTGTTAAAAGAGCTTTTATAAGTATGTTCAAAATGCTTAACTAGTTAAAAGCACAAACAATGAGGAGAAAAGTGGAAGTTATTGTTTTAAACAGAAATATCAGAAATGAAAAACACAACAGATGTTGCAGATGAAAATATGTAATTGAAGAAGTCACAGTAGTAACTAGCCAAAATAAGGCACAAAACAAAGCAAAAGTATAAAAATGAACAGTCATAATATCGTATGGAAGAAAATCAAACAGTTTAATGTACACATAATTGGGAGTCCCAAAGAAAGAGGTGGATAAAGAAGCACAAGAAAACTTTGAAAGAAATAATGCCAACTTTTTTTTTTACAAATTTGATGAAAATCAGAAAAAGACAGGACCAAAAAGTTCAACAAACTTCAAACAAAATAAATATAAAGCGAAGCACAAGACACTGAAAGCCAGAGGAAAAAAATAGACTCATAGTGTACAGAGAAACAAAGATGAAAATTATTTCAGACCTTCATCAGAAATCCAGAAATGAGATAACATCTTTAAAATGCTAAGAGAAAAAAATAATTCTCAACTTAGGATTCTATATGCAATAAAAATATGTCTCAAAAATGAAAGTAGGCCCAACACAGTGACCCACACCTGTAATCCTAGCACTTTGGGAGGCCAAGGTGGACCAATCACTTGAGATCAGGCAGTCGAGACTAGCCTGGCCAACATGGTGAAACCCTGTCTCTACTAAAAAATACAAAGATTAGCTGGGTGGGGTGGCAGGCATCTGTAATCCCAGCTACTCGGAAGGCTGAGGCAGGAGAATCACTTGAACCAGGAGGCAGAGGTTGTAGTGAGCAGAGATTGTGCCACTGCACTCCAGCCTGGGTGACAGAGCAAGATTCCATCTAAAAAAAAAAAATGAAGACAAATAAAAACATTTTCAGCAAATCAAAATCTAAGATAATTCATCACTAGCATATCTACACTACAAAAAATATTTTTTAAAAGTGCTTCAGGCAGTGAAAAATTATTTAAATGAAAGCTTGCATATATAAACAAAAAAATCAAAGTGTGAGAAATGGTAAATATAAAAGACTTTCTTTCACTTTTAAGTTTTATTAAAAATAATTGATGGAAGCAAAAATTATAACAAATATATTTGAGGATTTGTAACATATAAAGACATAAAATATGTGCACAAAGTATGGGAGGAGAGATTGAAGTATATTATTGTAAGACTCATATTGTTCATTAAATGACATAATATTTGAAGGCAGTCTGTGATGTTGATGTATATTTTATGTTTCATTTTTCTTTTTTTTTTTGAGACAGTGTCTCACTCTGCTGCCCAGGCTGGAGCACGGTGGCATGATCTCAGCTCTCTGCAGCCTTCGCCTCCTGGATTCAAGCAATTCTCTTACCTCAGCCTCCAAGTAGCTGGGACCACAGGTGCAAACCACCATGCCCAGCTAATTTTTTTTATTTTTAGTGGAGACAGGGTTTACCATTTTGGCCAGGCTGGTCTCAAACTCCTGGCCTCAGGTAATCCACCCATTTCAGCCTCTCAAAGTGTTAGGATTACAGGTGTGAGCCACTGTGTCTGGCTATTGATGTGTATTTTAAGTCCTAAAGTAACTACAAGAAAACTGTTTAAAAGATATTTAGTTAATAAGACATTAGCAGATAAAATAGAATCGAAAAACACTCAATTCAAAAGAAGGCTGTGTTAGCTATTCTGGTATTGCTATAAAGAAACACGTAAGACTGGGTAATTTATAAAGAAAAGAGATTTAATTGGCTCACTGTTCTGTAGGCTGTACAGGAAGCATGGCATTGGGCATCTGTTCAGTTTCTGGTGAGGCCTCAGGAAGCTTTTACTCATGGTGGAAGGTGAAACAGGAGCAGGCACATGACATGGCCAGGGCGGCAACAAGAGAGAGTTGGGGTGGAGGGAGGTGCCACACACTTTTAAGCAACCGTATCTTGTAAGAACTCACTCACTATTGCAAAGATAGCACCAAACCATGAGGTGTTCACCCCCACGATCAAAACATCTCCCACCAGACCCAACCTCCAACATTAGGGATGAAAATTCAACATGAGATTTAGAGGAAAAAATATCCAAACCATACCAAAGGCTAAAAAATGGAGATGTGTAAAGAGTAAAGAGCAGATGAAGCAAATAAAAAAAAGTCAGACAATGAGGTAGATTTCAGAAATAAAAAGAAAAATTTTAAAAATTAAAAACAAATATCAAGATGGCAGGCTTAAACCCAACTTTTTCATTTATTATATTAAATGTAAATGATCTAAATATTTTAATTAAAAGGTAGATACCAAATTTGATTTTTGTAAAGCATGACCCAACTATATACTGAATTCAAAAAACTCACTTTAAATTTGAAAACACAAATAAGTATAAAAATATAGAAAAAGAGATATGATGCAAACATTAAAGATACTAAAGCTGGAGGTCAGGTGTGGTGGTTCACACCTATAATCCCAACACTTTTGGAGGCCAAGAGGGGGAGGATTGCTTGAGCCTAGAATTTTGAGGCCAGCCTAAGCAACAATGGTGAGACCTCATTACTATAAAAAAAATTTTTTAAACTAGCCAGGCACACTAGGGTGTGCCTGTTGTCCCAGCTACTCAGGAGGCTGAGGTGAGAAAATTACTTAAGCCCAGGAGGTGGAAGTACAGTGAACCATGTTTGCACTATTGCACTTCAGCCTAGGTGACAGAGGAAGACCCTGTGTCAAAAAAAAAAAAAAAAAAGTAATAAAGCTGGAATTGGTGTGTTAATATCAAATAAAGCAAACTTTACTAATATAATTTTTAAACCAAATAAAATAATTCATAATTATAGCTGGATATTTCAACACTCTTGTCTCAATAACTGATAGAATAAGTAGACAGTAAATCAGTGAGACCACAAAACACTTAAAACATTCAATCAACTGAACATAATTGACATTTATAAACTGTCCCACTGAATAATTGCGGAATACACATTCCCTTTCAGGGCATGTGGAAATTTCAACAACAGAATATATTATGGGTCATAAAACAAGTCCCAATAAATGTTAAAGAACTGAAATTATGCAGAATATGTTCTCTGACTGCAATGGAATTAAATTAGAAATCAATAACGATAAAATATCTGCTAACCCTCAAATACTTAAAAACTTAAAAATACATTTCTAAATAACACGAGTAAAGAAAGAAATTGCAATATTAATGAGTAAATTTTTTTTTTTTTTTTTTTTTTGGAGACGGATTTGCCCTTTTTTCTCTTTTTGTTTTGCAATGGGGCGGTTTCGGCTCACCGCAACCTCCGCCTCCTGGGTTCAGGCAATTCTCCTGCCTCAGCCTCCTGAGTAGCTGGGATTACAGGCACATGCCACCATGCCCAGCTAATTTTTTGTAGTTTTAGTAGAGACGGGATTTCACCATGTTGACCAGGATGGTCTCGATCTCTTGACCTCGTGATCCACCCGCCTCGGAATATTTTTAACTTAATGAAAATGGGAGCTGTCACAGTGGCATGTGCCAATATTCCCAGTTACCCGGGAGGCCAAGATGGAAGAATTGTTTGAGGTCAGGAGTTAGACACTGCTGTACACTATGACTGGGCTTGTGAATAGCCACTGCATTTCAGCCTGGGCAGCATAGCCAAGATCTCATGTCTAAAAAACAAAACAAAACAAAATAAAAAACTTTAAAACTTAATGAAAATGAAACCAAAACATTACTATTTGGGGAATACAGCTAAAACAATACTTAGAAGAAAATTTGTAGTTTAAAATCAATAATTTAAGAATCCACCTAAGAATCAGGACCTTCATATTTGCCACAGTATTGAAGATACAAATGCATAAAAATAATTATAAATCTATTTTATGGGTACACAATATATAAAGAGTTGGTTTATAACATAAATAACATTAAAATGTGGAACAGAGCTGTGAAGATTAGTTTTTATATGCAATCAAGATTAAATTGGTATCAATTCAAAGTAGATTGTTTTATATTTAGAATATTTTATGTAATCCCCCTGATAACAATGAAGAAAATAGTTATACAATATACACCAAAAGGAATCAAAACTTACCATCAAAATGTATATTCTGCTGTTGTTGATGGAGTGTTTATACAATTTATACATTTTGTAGTTCATAATTATGATTATTGGGTTTTCAGGCTCACATATAAGATGTGCCTCCCTAAAACCTTTTACAACATTGGCACATAACCCCATCTAATGTGTTATAGTGTTATATATATATATATGTGTGTGTGTGTGTGTGTGTGTGTGTGTGTGTACAGATATGTGTATGTGTATATATATATACATATATATATATATATATATATATATATATATATATATAATGGATTCCATATAAATAATGGATAGAACTGAAGAACTGACAGGTCAATAAGGAAATAAAGGACATGGACAACACTACAAACCAATTGGACCTAACAGACATATACAGAACACTCCATCAACAACAGCAGAATATACATTTTTCTCAAGTGTACATGGAACATCGTCCAGGATAAACCACATGTTAGGCAAAAAAAAAAAGAAGTCCTAATAAATTTTAAAAGATTTAAGTCATTCCAAGTATCCTTACTGATCACAATGAAATGAAACAAATAAATAGCAAAAGGAAAACTGGAAAATTCATAAATATGTGGAAATTAACACACTCAAACAATAAATGAGCTACAGAGAAAATCAAAGAGTAATTTTTAAATATCTTGACACAAAAAAGGAGAAAATATCTTGATACAACAGAAAATGAAAACACCAGGTACCAAAATTTATGAAATGTAGCAAAAGCAGGGCTAAGGGTGAAATTTAAAGCTATAAATGCTAATGTTAAAAGGAAAGATCTAAAATCAACTATCTGATTTTAAACTTTAAGGAACTAGAAAAAAAAGAACAAACTAAACCCAAAGCTAGCAGAACAAAGGAAATAATAAGGATTAGAGCAGATATAAATAAAAATAGAGAATAGAAAAACAATGGAGAAAATCAATAAAATCAGAAGTTGATTCTTCAAAAATATCAGTAAAATTGACACACCTTTATCTAGGTTGACTAAGAAAAACAAGAGAGAAGATTCTAATTGCTAAAATCAAAATTTAAAATTACTAATAATTTTTATTTGATTGCACATTGAAATATTTTGAATATAGAGGGCTAAATAGAATACATTGTTAAAATTTTTTTTAACTGTTAGAACTAATAAACTAATTTAACATAGTGGCATAATACAAAATTAATACATAAAAATTAGTTGCATTTCTATATATTAACAATGAACAATTAGAAAAGAAAATCAAGAAAGTAATCCCATTTACAACAGCATCAAAAATAATAAAATACTTAGAAATAAATGTAATCAAGGAGGCAAAAGACTTGTACACCAAAAACTACAAAATATTACTAAGAGAAATTAAAGAAGATACAAATAAATAGAAATGAAGTTTATATTTATGATTGGAAGACTTAATATTGTTAAAATGTCTAGACTAACCAAAGCTATTCTCAGATTCAATACAATCTCTATCAAAATCCCAATGGCACATTTTCATAAATATAAAAAAACTTGATGTAAAATCTCAAAGGATCCCCAAATGGCCAAACAATCTTGAACAAGAAAAGACCTCACACATCCTGACTTCAAAACATATTACAAAGCTACAATAACCAAAAAGTATCTTACTGGCAGAAAGACAGATATATGAAATAGAATAGAGATCCCAGAGATAAACCCTCCCATATATGATTAAATGATTTTCTGCAAGGGTTCCAAGACTACATGTATTAGTCCATTCTCATGCTGCTATGAAGAAATACTTGAGATCGGTTAATTTATAAAGAGGTTTAGTTGGCTCACAATTCCACATGGCTGGAGAGGCCTCAGGAAACTTACAATCAGGCCAGGAGGGGAAGCAAACATGTCCTTCACAGGGCTGCAAAGGAGAGAAGTACAGACTGAAGGGGGGAAAGCCCCTTATAAAATCATCAGATCTCCTGAGAACTCACTTACTATCAGGAGAACAACATGGGGGTAACCACCCTCATGATTCAATCCCCACTAGGTGGGGATTATGGGAACTATAATTCAAGATGAGATTTGAGTGGGGGGACACAGCCAAGCTATATCACCACACAATGGAGAAAGGGCAGCCTTTTCAACAAATGGTATTGGAAAGACTGGACATACACATGCAAAGGAATGAGTTTGGACCCTTACCTAAAACCATATGCAAAAATTAACTTAAAATGAATCAAAGACCTAAATGTAAACCTTAAAACTAGAAAACCAGAAGAAAACACAGAGAGAAAACTTTTTGACTGGATTTGTCAATAATTTCTTGGATGTGAGACCAAAGCACAGGCCACAAAAGAAAAAAATAGATAAACTAAACCTCATCAAAAGTAAAAACTTTTGTGTATAAAAAACACTGTCAACAGTGTGAAGAAGCAACCCATAAAATGAGAGAAAACATTTGCAAATTATGTATTTATCTGGGGTTAATGTCTAGAACATATAAATAACTCTGTATTATGTATATATAAATGTATATATTTTAATTTTCTACATATTATAATGTTGTGACATCTTTAAAAATTACCTTTCTAGATGAAGAGAGACTTTCTAACTAGTCAATTCTTGGAGATAGCAATCGCCCCAGATGCACAAACTAACCATTCTAGAGCCATGCCTCCTCTGTCAGCCTTGTACATCCCAAGAGGCAATATTCCTCTGACTTAATTGTTCCAGGGCCAGGTGCCAGACAAACATGACCACTCCTAGAGTCCAAAGCCCACTGAAAGTGTTCAAATTAGCCATTCCTAAAATGTTCACACTGCCCTGCTTTGTCTTTCCCATGGGAACCCCAACAAAGGCTCTGGCCTAATGCTTTTCCCTTGGCCTGTCTTCTGTTTTCTGATCACCCTGGTATCTTTCCCATGTGGCCCTGCATGGCATACTATGCCAATCCTCCTGTCTTTAGGAGTTGTAAATATAACAACCTTTGATTTATCCTGAGCTTCTCCTGTTTTCTTTTGTGGCCCCACCATACTGACTATATCATAAAAGAACACAAAACAAATTCCTGTAACTCCACAACCAAAAAAAAAAAAAAAAAAAAAAAAAAAAAACCACAACCAAAAAAAAAAAAAAAAAACTTGATTAAAAAGCATTCAAAGATGCAAGCCTTCAAAGCTCAACCGGGCCTGCATGAGTATGCGCAGAAAATTGCAAAGCGGTTCCACTCTTCTCACCTTGGAGCTCATTCCCATTCCCATTATGTCCCCTGTCAGCAGGAAAAAGCCAGAGGAATTCACATAGCTTCATTGCCCCAGATTAGGAGCGCAAGGTGCACATTCCCCACTCTTCACCAATCCCCCGTGAGCCAAGCTTCTGCAGCACAGCACCTAGACCAAAGCCTTGGCTGACATGCACCCTGCTCTGGGGGCCAGTAGGCACTGCACCTCTCCAACACTAGGGCTCCATCTTCATTATGCCAAGCTCACTCATATGGCTGAACACCACAACCTCAGTTGCATGGAAATTTGGTCCAAGACTGGCTGTGATTCTGGTCCTGCACAGCAGGGAAAGCCACTTCCAAACCATACTTCCAGCCAGAGGAACAGACTGCCAGTCCTGCCCAGGGCAAGCCTGCATCTGAGCCAGCCAACCTGTAGTACACCCTCCCACAAGCAGAAGAGGCCCCTGGGTCTCTAAGCAGTTTACATGCCCCCAGGCCAATGGAATAGTTATACATCCATGCTCAGGACGTGAAAAACAGCTCTACAGCACCCTTAAACCCCACAGATATGCCCCTGGCCTGTCCAATGGTCCTGTGCCCCTATAATGGCCTGAGAAACAGTCCCACAGTCAACCTCTGGTGGGCACACCCCCAGGCCTACCGAATAGCCAAGAGCCCACAACCCAGACCTGAGAAATAGCCCCATGGACCATAACCCAGCAGACATGCCCTCAGGCCAATTAAGAAATCCCATGCCCATATCCCAAGCCTACTAAACAGCCCCCATGAGCCACCCTCCACAGAAATGCTCCCAGCCAAGCAGCTGTGTGCCTATGTCCTGGACCTGAGAAATAGCCCCATGGGCCTCCCTCAGCAGACACGAACCTAGGCCAGCCAAACAGCCATGTACCTACATTCCATCCCTGAGAAACAGCCCTACAGGCCACCCCAGCAGGCATATCCCCAGGTCGACTGAGCAACTGCATGCCTATATTCCTGGCCAGAATAACAGCCCCATGGCCCCAATCCCAGGAAGCCAGATTCCAAGTTGGCCAACCCACCATGTGCATGCAAACCCCAGGTTGAGAAACCCCTGTGAGCCCACCCCTGGAAAAGTCACACTACTGTCACCACAGAGTCTCAATATATGCCACTGAGAAACACCAAATGCCACTAGTGTGACTTACAGCTAAGGAAACTACACAAAGACTACACTACTGCATCCAACTAGAATAAAGTCCAATGCATTCCACCAAACTGACACCTCAAGATCCATTCGTACAAATAAGTATTTCCCTACAAAACCTACTCCATAAAATTGGAAGAGGTGGCTTTTTTAACAGATGCATAAAAATCAACATAGGGACATGTCAAACATGAAAAAGCAAGAAAATATGGCACCTCCAAAAGAAAACAATAACTCTCCAGTAACAGAATGCAAATTATAAAAAATAAAAAAATACATAAAATACCAGAAAAAGAATTCAAAATAATAATCCTAAGAAAATTCAGTGAGATACAAAAGAATACAGATAGACAATTCAATGAAATCAGAAAAACAATTCATGATTTTAATGAGAAATTCAACAGAGATTGACACCATAAAAAATAACCAAACAAATCCTAGAGCTGAAGAATTCAATGAATGAAATAAAAAATACAACTGAGAGCTTAAACAGCACATTGGACCAAGCAGAAGGAGGAATTTATAAACTTGAAGACAGATCTTTTGACAAAACATAAGCAGACCAAAAAAACAACAAAAAAGAAACAAAAATTTTAAATAATGAACAAAGCCTGCCAGATTTAAGAGACATCATTAAGTGAATGAATATCAGTATTAATATTATGGACATTCCAGAAAAAGAGAAGGGGAAAAGTGAGGAAAACATATATAATGAAATAATAGGGCCAGATGTGGTGGCTCACACCTGTAATCCCAACACTTTGGGAGGTCAAGGCAGGTGGATT